TTGCCAGGTGCACTGCTGAGCGGAACTGACAACTACCCAAGTTTTGTTTCATGTGGTAACTTTTTACTATATCTCTTGGTTGTATGTCCTGGGCCTTGGTTGTATGAATTATCTATGAATTATCATTTTGCTCTGAACAGACTGTCCTGTGGAATGAACAGTGTGAAACTGTGTGATGTCTTTGGCTTACCACATCATACAGAGATCTTTAGTGGCACAAATCCTTCTGGCTAGAGGGACTTAGGCAGGGCTCAGTTACTACTGGGGACTACAGGAGCCTGAGTCCCAGCTTCAGGTAAGTGGTAGCACTGAATAAAGACCTACCTTTCAGACTCTTTCAACCTTGGTGATTTGGGGGAGAGATTGGTCAGGATTCTGAATCATTTATTTTATTTTTGCCAGTAAGGAAGTTTGAACTCAGTGCCTTGAGTTCACTTGGCTTGCTTGTTTGTCTGGTGCTCTTATCATTTGGACTAGTCCTTGAGCCCTGCTTTTTGCTGGTTATTTTGCATTTTGGAGATGCTCCTCTAGACCTCAGTCTTCTGAGTATCTAGTATTACAGGCATGGGCACCAGTGTTTGGCAAGGTTCTGTGTCTTTAAGTTTCTAAAAAATAGTGATATATAATCTAGGGGTCAAGATAGATGGACCACAGGACACTTTGAAAATATAGCTTGATTTGGTATATTCAGTTCACAATAGCAAAGTGGTTATTTTACGATAAAAGATTTTTTTTGTAAATTTTCAATTTTGCAGTGGGTGAATTTCCCCAGGCTGACCTTGAATTCTCCTCCTTGCCTTCCTAGTTCTAGGCTTACAGGCACAAACTACCACTCCTGGCTCCAGGATTTTTGTCTTCCTTCCTTCCTTCCCCTTCCCGCCCTCTTCCCTCCCTCCCTCCCCCTCTCTCTTTCTCTCTCTCTCTTCCTCCTCCCCCTATCTTTTGCTTGCTCTCTCATTCCTTCTTTTTTTTTTTTTTTGTTCTGGTACCTATTCTCTCTTCCTTTCCCTCCTCCCCTTCCCCCTCCCCTTTCCTCTCTCCCTGGCTTTTTTCTTTTTGCTTATGTGGAGCTGAGGAATCGAACCCAGGGCCTCAGGCATGCAAGGCAAGTGCTCTACCACTGAGCCACCTTCCCAGCCCTGACTTTGAACTTTTATTCTTTTTTTTTTTTGGGCCCGGTCATGGGGCCTGAACTCTGGGCCTGGGCACTGTCCCTCAGCTCTTCAGCTCAAGGCTAGCGCTCTACCACTTGAGCCACAGCACCACTTCCGGCTTTTTTCTTTTTGCTTATGTGGTGCTGAGGAATTGAACCCAGGGCCTCAGGCATGCAAGGCAAGCGCTCTTCCACTGAGCCACCTTCCCAGCCCTTGAACTTTTATTCAGCCTCCTGAGTACCTAGGATTACAGGCATGAGCCACCTGTGCCTGGCCATAATTTATTCTTCGTTGTTTTTGTGGTGCCTGCCTGGGGCTTGAATGAAGGGCCTGGGCACTGCCCCTCTTTGAGCTTTTATTGCTTAGTGTGGTGCTTTACCACTTGAGCTACAGCTCTACTTCAGGCTTTTTGGTAGTTTCTTGGAGATAAGAGTCTCATGGAGTTTTCTGCCCAAGCTGACTTTGGGCTTTGATCTTTAGATCACAGCCTCCTGAGTAGCTAGGATTATAGGTATGAGTCACTGGTGATGGGTCAGGATTTAACAAGGAGATTCTTAACATGGACACATTATCTCACAGATGGATTTTTAATTCCCCAGAGTTTGCAGTTTTGCCTAATTCAATTTTAAAAAGAAAATCATCATCACAGTTCCTCCTGGTTATGATTTCTCCTGGATATTTTCACATCAGTATCACTTAGGAAATTTCCATGTTTTATTTCCTGTGTGCCTTTTATGTTGAAGGTGACTTTATGCTGGGGATATTGTTGTTGTTTGGTTGTGCAAATAGAGAAGAGTGACCGCAGTAGTGTTCTTTAAGCAAAGTACCAAGCACACAAGACTTCTCCAGTGTTGTGTAATTGAGACATGTACAAGTGGTAGGTGATTTATACTTGAACGCCTGCTTAACTTAAATGTTTCTTTCATTTGCCATGGTAGATTTTTCCCTGTGAGAATCTTAGAAGTAGTTAGAAATGTCTCCAGAGTGAGTTCATATGCTGAGGGTCTTAGCAGCCATTGATGCATTTTTTAAAAATAATTTTTTATTGAGATTGATTACATAAATTTCACAGTTTCGCAGATAGTGATAATTAAAGTCAGAAACACATTTTAACCTCCACAAGGCAAATTATCCACAAGATCATTATCATGATCTATAATGTTTGTGAATTCTATGAGCTTTGACAATACCAGTATTTCTTCCACATCTGGTGATATGTACATTTCTTTCCTTTTGCTTAGTGTAAGCTGTTCCCTTTTTCCCTTTTATTCCCTCCCTCCACTGATGCATTTTATATGAGTTTTCATAGGGATATATATTCTCATCTGTAGAGGTTCTACCTTGACCCCGTGTTGTTGCCTTCATAAGGAATGTCTGATCTTTTATAGATTGTACAAGAAAGAAGGTCATTAGCTACTCCAATTAAATGTGTTAGACCACTTCTCAGGGACCACTAACACAAGTTTAAAGGAGGAACAACAGTAAATACTGAAGTCTAGGAATATATGCCTACCAATCAGATTTTGTTGTCTGTCAGCTGCAGTCCTTCCATTGTTGATTGCTTGCTTATCTCTCCCCCCCCACCCCCCTTTCCCTGCCTTTTTTTTTTTTTTGGGTCTGGTCATGAGGCCTGAACTCTGGGCCTGGGCACTGTCCCTCAGCTCTTCAGCTCAAGGCTAGTGCTCTACCACTTGAGCCACAGTGCCACTTCTGGCTTTTTTCTTTTTGCTTATGTGGTGCTAAGGAATCGAACCCAGGGCCTCATGCATGCAAGGCAAGCGCTCTACCACTGAGCCACCTTCCCAGTCCCCCCCCCCCCCCCTTTTTTTTTAATGTCAGTCGTGGGGCTTGAACTCTGAGCCTAGGCACTCTCCTTCAGCTCTTCAGCTCAAGGCTAGCGCTCTACCACTTGAGCCACAGTGCTACTTCCAGCTTTTTCTGCTTATGTGGTGCTGAGGAATTGAACCCAGGGCCTCATGCATGCAAGGCAAACACTCTGCCACTGAGCCCCTTTCCCAGCCCCTTTCCTTGCTTTTCATTCTCCTTTGTTCTTTCTTCTGTCCTTACCCCAAATACTTTTCCTCCTAGATGCTTGCTCTACTGCCAAAGCAAAGACCAAGTCCAAGGAGATTTCCTGTGGTTCTGAGTGCTAGTAAGTGACAGAGCTGAGCCCCTGTTCAGCTATAAATCTAGCCTCTAACCTTGTGGCTTGTTAATTATATCACCTGTCCTTAGGCAGGTGATAGGCCAGTAGGTAAGAAGAGACAAGGACACTCATTAGAGGACAGGTCTAAGATGGGGCATTGTGGAGACTGTTCAATTAGCCTCCAAAGGTGGGATAAAAGGCTCCCTTTTAGTGACCCCAACACTCTGTATATTTATGTGTCTTTCATCTTTGGAAATGCTCTCCATTCTCCCATGGAGAGTATCTCTTATAACCTAAAAGGAAAAATTAGATTTAAATAAAAATGGTTGGAATCAACTCATATTCCATTTCCTTTTTTACTTACAAATAAGAAAAGTTTCTTTCCATTTTTTTGGGGGGTGGGGGGTTGGTCCTGGGTACTATCCCTGAGCTTCTTTTGCTCAAGGCTAAAACTCTACCACTTGAGCCATTATGCCACTTTTTTTTTTTTTCTGAGTAGTTTATTAGCGATAAGGGTCTCATGGACTTTCCTGTCTTTTTTTTTTTGGGTTGGTCCTGGGTGCTGTCCCTGAGCTTCTTTTGCTCAAGGCTAAAACTCTACCACTTGAGCCATTGTGCCACTTCTGTTTTTTTTTTCTGAGTAGTTTATTGGCGATAAGGGTCTCATGGACTTTCCTGTCTGGGCTGGCTTTGAACCATGGTCCTCAGATTGCAGCCTGCTGAGTAGCTAGGATTATAGTGGTGCGACACCAGTGCCTGGCAAGAAAAGTTTCTTTTAAAATATAACTTAAGGGTTCCTCCACCACCGGGGTCTGTCTGCCTCTCTGGTTTTCATCTCTTGACATACTCCTTCATGGACAGCTTAGGGGTACTTGGGGAACTTTGGGGTCTTAAAAAATATCTCCCAATTGGACTTATGTCTATCTGGTGGCAGGTTTGTATGCCCATTTCTTCTGTGGATGAATATTAACATCTATAATACCCTTACAATCTCTTTCTTTTAATTTACTATCCCAAATAGTATGATGACTATGGTAATGATGTTTTGCAAATGGGATTAAATGCTACCAAGATCAAAATATGTTTGGAAGCCAGGTAGAGTGGCTAATACCTGTAATCCCAGCCAAGAGGGAGAGGTAAGGAAATGTAGGTCTTAGGAGGATTGTAGACTAAGGCTGGCCCACAGTATCTGAAAAAGAAAAAAAAAGCCAAAAAAGAGGTTGGGGGACTGGAGGTATTTGGCTCTAGTGGTAGAGTGTTTGCATAGCAAGTCGGAAACCCTGAGTTCAGACCCCATTATCATACTCCCAGCCCTGAGAGAACAAGTTTAGGGATTAAAAAACAGTCTGGAGACAAAGCTTTATATGAAAACAGTGTGAAAATGACGCTTTCTCGTTTCTGCACTAAAACCTGCTTTTCTGTGCTATCACAGCTTCAACCAACTTCATTCTTAGGTGCACTGGTGATGCTGTACGACATTTTGGAAAGGTTCCTTTTGGAACTCTGAATGATGGGGGTTTTGTGCGGTCTGTGGATGCCACTTTGACTCAGGTTCCCATGGTTTCCCTAACTGCTATTACCGAGTTGAGTTGCTCTTTCTTGCTGTTCCTCACTGTGTTGTAGAAACTGTCTGGTGGGATTTTTGACTCATCGTCACAAATGTTCATCGCTGATGGATTTCTTTCCCATTCCTTTAACAGAACATCTGATCAAATTCATGACCATGGGGGATATGAAGACCCCAGACTTCGATGACCTCCTGGCAGCATTTGACATCCCAGATATGGTCGATCCCAAAGCAGCTATTGAATCCGGACACGATGACCACGAAAGCCACATCAAGCAGAATGCTCACGTGGACGACGACTCGCATACCCCATCGTCCTCCGATGTGGGTGTCAGCGTGATTGTGAAGAATGTGCGGAACATCGATTCCTCCGAGGGTGCGGAGAAGGAAGGCCACAATCCCACAGGCAATGGCTTACACAACGGGTTTCTCACAGCGTCCTCTCTGGATGGTTACAGTAAAGATGGAGCCAAGTCCTTGAAAGGAGACGCACCTACCTCAGAGGTGACTCTCAAAGACTCGGCATTCAGCCAGTTCAGCCCTATCTCCAGTGCTGAAGAGTTTGATGACGATGAGAAAATCGAGGTGGACGACCCCTCGGACAAGGAGGAGGTGCGCTCCGGTTTCAGATCGAATGTCTTGACGGGGTCTGTTTCTCAGCAGGACTGTGATAAACTAAAGGCACTGGGAGGAGAAAACTCAGGCAAAACTGGAATGGCCACGCCAGGCAGTCTAGATAAAAACAAAGTCAAGAGAGAAACAGAGAGCAATTCCATAAGTCTGAGTGTTTATGAATCGTTTAAAGTCAGAAAGCTGGAGGATAAGTTGAAGGAGAACTCTGAGAAGGTGCTCGAAAATAGGGTCCTTGATGGGAAGCTGAGCTTGGAGAAGAACGATATCAGCCTTGCTGGGCTTGCACCATCCAAGACCAAGGCGGCCTCCAAGCTCTCGTCCTGTATAGCCGCCATTGCGGCCCTAAGCGCCAAAAAGGCGGCTTCTGACTCATGCAAAGAGCCTGTGGCCAACTCCAGGGAAGCATCTCCCTTACCGAAAGAAGAAAATGACAGTCCGAGACCTGCTGACAAGTCTCCCGAATCCCAGAGCCTCATCGATGGCCCCAAGAAAGCCTCCCTCAAGCCATCGGATAGTCCCAGGAGCATCTCCAGTGAGAACAGCAGCAAAGGGTCCCCGGCGTCTCCTGCAGGCCCCACACCGGCCATCCCCAAGGTCCGCATCAAGACCATCAAGACATCTTCCGGGGAGATCAAGAGAACGGTGACGCGGGTTCTGCCGGAAGTGGACCTTGACTCGGGGAAGAAGCCTTCTGAGCAGACGGCGTCTGTGATGGCTTCTGTGACATCCCTTCTGTCATCTCCAGCCTCGGCCACTGTCCTCTCCTCTCCCACCAGGGCGCCTCTCCAGGCAGTTTCCTCTGCCGAGCTGACCCCCAAGCAGGTCACCATCAAGCCCGTGGCCACCGCGTTCCTCCCCGTGTCCGCCGTGAAGACAGCAGGGTCCCAAGTCATCAATCTGAAGCTGGCGAACAACACGACGGTGAAAGCCACGGTCATCTCTGCTGCCTCTGTCCAGAGTGCTAGCAGCGCCATCATTAAAGCTGCCAATGCCATTCAGCAGCAAACCGTTGTGGTGCCAGCCTCCAGCCTGGCGAACGCCAAACTCGTGCCAAAGACTGTGCACCTTGCCAACCTTAACCTTCTGCCTCAGGGTGCCCAGGCCACCTCTGAACTCCGCCAAGTGCTAACCAAACCTCAGCAACAAATAAAGCAGGCAATAATCAATGCAGCGGCCTCGCAGCCACCCAAAAAGGTGTCCCGTGTCCAGGTGGTGTCCTCCTTGCAGAGTTCGGTGGTGGAAGCTTTCAACAAGGTGCTGAGCAGTGTCAACCCAGTCCCAGTTTACATCCCAAACCTCAGTCCTCCTGCCAACGCGGGCATCACGATCCCCACACGCGGGTACAAGTGCTTGGAGTGCGGGGACTCCTTCGCGCTGGAGAAGAGTCTGACCCAGCACTACGACCGGCGCAGCGTGCGCATCGAAGTCACCTGCAACCACTGTACCAAGAACCTCGTTTTTTATAACAAATGCAGCCTCCTTTCCCATGCCCGGGGCCATAAGGAGAAAGGAGTGGTAATGCAGTGCTCCCACTTAATTCTCAAGCCAGTCCCAGCAGATCAGATGATAGTTTCTCCGTCTAGCAATACTTCTGCTTCCTCTCCCACTCTGCAGAGCTCCGTGGGAGCCGGCACACACACTGTCACCAAAATCCAGTCTGGCATCACGGGGACGGTCATATCAGCTCCTTCCAGCACACCCATCTCCCCAGCTATGCCCCTAGACGAAGACCCCTCCAAACTCTGTAGACACAGTCTCAAATGTTTGGAGTGTAACGAAGTCTTCCAGGACGAGACATCGCTGGCCACACATTTCCAGCAGGCTGCAGATACGAGTGGACAAGTAGAGTATCATTTACATTTTGGTGTTTCGGTGACGAGTCTGTAGCCATGAGTGCTCAGTAGGATGTCTTGTTTTTGGGGTGGAGGAGCGTGTGCGCGTATGTATGCTAGCAAGGCACAGGGGAGGGAGAAAGAGAGGATTGTTTCCATAGAGCAGAAGCAGTGCTGAAACATGGAGATACAAAGTCTATACACTGGTTTGGGTTGTGGTACTTCAGTTCAGGTAATTGTTTGGTTATCGGAATATATGTTGCTAGTCCAAGGTTTAGCTATCAAATTAGTGTCACCCCACTGTCAGGTTACCTGGCCTTATCTCCTTAGTTATTAGCGACGATTTTTGGCATTTTTACAAGTACTTCCTGTGGTTACTTACAGTACTGAAATGTCTTTTCTGAACACATCTGATGGGTGCCAACTTTTCTAGCATATCTGCTTAAGACAGTGGTTCAGCAGCATATTCAGTGGATTTAAGCTACGGACGACAAACCAGCACTTCTTACCTAAAGCTGCTTTTGCAGCTCTTTTGTGTTTCTGCAGGTTGGTGCGTGTGAAAGGCATTTCACAATAGGCATCAGGCTTGCCTCCCCGTCGTCTCCAGCTCTCCATGAGGCAACTAGATAACATGTTTGACAAATATGCCTATTATTTGGAAGTAACTGGACATGCTGAATCAAATAATTTCCAGCCAGGGAAACCATAGGACATGCAGTCTGGATCGGAACCTGTGTGCTGTTCGGAGGGGGAGGGGCGCTAGTGTGCACTCATGTTCACTGCTACTCGGACTTCTCTTTATGAAGAACCAGTGGGTTTTTTTCCTACTGTTTGTTAATTAGGAGATTTGTGCTGTGGTCAGAAGTCCTTCACTGTCTTGGTAATCCAAGACAGTGATCCCTTTGAGTATGAGGAAGAAAAGATCAACATGACTTCACTTTATATTCTGGGTTTTCAGTTTAGTGGCTGTGGAAGTGAGAGTTCTGACTAGCTTCTGGCAGGCTTGGTGTTTATCCTGTCATTGGTTCCCACAGTAGATGTTTCAGGACGAGAACAGCAGTGAGCTCAAGGGAGAAGCAATGGCTGTGGCTCTTGGCTCATGTCCTAGTGACAATGCCCAGGGTCTCTCCATCCTGCTGTTCCCTTCTCTTGCCACCTCTTCATCAAAAGGGTGGAAGTTCTTTCCATCTTAAAAGAATGCAGTAAAAGGAAAAAAAAAAGGCATCTCTTTAGTTGTTTATCCTGTCTTCTGCTGTGCTAGGACTCCATGGCCTCTGGCCTGGCCCAGGAGGGTTGGCATGGAGGTCCTTGGTTGGAACTGCCTTCCTATGTTCTTCTTTAGGACACTGCCTTCTCCAGAAACATGCAAGACAGTGGGCTAAGGGTTAAGAGTCTCGCTGCTCTCTGTGTTCCACCAGGTTTGGTTCTGGATTACTTTTGGAGGCTCAACAGCCACGCCAGGCTCAGACAAGGATGAAGTCTCTAACTGAGAGAAGAAGAATGTCCCTCACTGCTGGGACGAGTAAAATGTGCACGCCACGTGGAGTCCTTAAGTATAGCAGGCTGTACTTATGGTCAGATATACATGTACTCCCTAGTCTCTTGCCTACCTAAGTTGTACACTCAGCACCTCTCAGAGAAGATTTATATCTAGTAAGCATCAGCCGACTGGTCAGCCAGGTGCTTATGGGGCTGGCCACATGAGCATAAGTCCATATTATGCTTTCCTCCCATAGCACTCGTGGTCAGGAGACCCTGTATGCATTTCCTGGTCTGTGCAGACTCAGCCTTTTAGTTCTCACCTGGATGGAGGCGGGAAGTCTGGGTTCTAACTGAGCCCCAGGCCGTGGTAGCCCTGTGTGAAATGGCTGTTTTTCCACTTAGAAGCACCGCCTCTCTTTCCCTGCTACAAGAGGTCTGTAGAGTACCAGTACCACAGTCTACTATTGCACTTGAACTGGGGTTCCTTCTACATCACTGTCACAGGTGTAATATTGGTAATTGGGGTGGCCGGAAGTGGGGCAGCAATAAGAAAGAAGAGAACAATCATTCCATCTTTCTACTTACCAGTCACATGACCCTTGCCCAGTTTATAATTGTAACCTTAAACTCAGTTGAGAAAAAAAAAACAAAAAAAACTTTGCCTGTGTGAATGGGACTGAAAGCCTTGTGATTTTTTTTTTTCCCCCTACAAAATCTAGAAGATGAACTAGTGGCTCCGCTAGGACCAGAGACTTTGCTGACTTTACCGAACCTCTTCTTTCCTCTGTTGTCTACTGTGTTTCTAGATTTAGAACTTCCCTTTACATCCCCTGTCCCCTAACCCCTGTGTTCTAGTAACTTATTGGTAAATTGGGAAACAAGGACTTCCCACTGTTGAGTAGTGGCATCCCCTGTAGGTAGGCTTACACCCTAACCTGTCTTTCCCCTGCCAGTTCCCCATATAGGCAAAGCCTCTGGCCTGCAGTATTGGTGGTCTTGAGTTGGGCTTGGGCTCTGCACAGCTGCCTGGTTTATATCTACACTGTTGTCAGTCCTGAGAAGGGCCTAGGGTGTGCACGCTGCCTGGTCTGCAGAAGCTTCCCCACGAGCCCTTGCTGCCAGCGTTAGGTTCTATAGGAAGTCCACTGGTCCTGGCTAGATCTGCAGATCACTGCCCGTCAGGCATTGCCTTTCAGCTCTGGTTAGCCAGGCCTGAGGAAGGAGGAACCACTGCTGGCAGCTGGCATCGTTCTTCCTTCTTTCCCTTTTAGTTTGAGGTAATGGTAGACTCATAGAAGTAACAGGCACCCGTCATCCAGTTCTCCCTAAGGATCACAGCTTACAAATGCCAATCAGTATCACAACCAGGGTGCTGACATCAATACAGTCAGGAAAGAGAAAAATCCTATGATATGAAGCTACTGTTACTGCCCATTCCACTGTAAGCCCTGGTAACCACTACCTGCATTTCTGTCATTTTGAGAGTGTTACCTGCCTGGAACTATACTGTGTGCATAGTCATTAGGATTTTTTTTTTCTTCATTCACCATGATTCCCTGGAGAGTCTTCTAGGTTTTTGCCTGTGTGAATACAGATGCTTCTCTGCTCATGACGATGGTACTACCTTCTTGATAAGCCCTTTGTAGGTTCAAAGTACTGTATTAGCCAAAAATGCATTGTATGTTCCTACCCTGCCACATACCCTAGCTTAGCAACACAATATGCTGTAGAGTATCAGTTCTTTCCCCAGTGGTGGCTCACTGGCTGTGGCTACCTAGCATTGCGAGAGAATGGAAGACTGTATTGCTAGCCTGGGAAAAGATCAAGATCCAACACTCCAAGTATAGTTCTATTCTGAGCATAATTCTATTGAAAGTGTATCACTTTTACACATTGAAAAGTGATAAGTTAAACGATTACAAGTTGGGCCTTCTGTATCTTATTCCTTTTTATTACACAGTGATATTCGAGTCTGTTGTTACACCGTAGTTTTCTTTAATCATTTGTGGTGGGACTTGTGCTTCGTTCCTAGTTTGGGGCTGTTAAGAATATGGCTCCCATGAACACTAGTGTACACGTTTTTGTGTGAACAGGGTTTTTACTTCTGTGGTATAGTAACCAGGAGCTTGGCTAAATGCTGGTTTTTATGTGAGTTGCATGTTTAGACTCTTAAACTGTTCTAGAGTAGCTATCCCCAGGAACCATCAAGTTTCTCTGTAGACTTGCCAAAATTGGCTGGTGGTACTGTTTTTTTATTCCTTGCTTATTCTGGGCCTTGTGATATTGCTTGGCCTTTTTGCTCATAGCTGCTGCTCTTACCATTTGAGCCTTGCCTTCAGTTCCAGCTTTTTGCTGGAGTTAAGAGTCTTGGACTTTACTGCCCAGGCTGGCTTCAAATCTGTTCTTTTAATTGTGTCTACCTACTCTGATAGGTATATTATTTCATTGTGTTTTCCTATTGGTTGATTATGTTAAACATATTTTTACAGATTTGCTACCTGTGTGTGTATATATGTGTGAGTGTGTGTGTGTATATGTATATGTATGTATGTATATATATATATATATATATATATATATTTGGGAAATACCTTTTTATATCGTTAAGTCTATTTTCCAGTTAGTTTAGTTGTTGTTTTTGTTTTTCTATTGAGGTTTAAAAGTTACTGATAAAAATCTAACAAGGGTCCTTTGCAGGGTATGTGTTTGCAAGTCTTTACTTCCAGTCTGCATCTTGTCTTTTCATACCCTCAGTAGCCCTTTGGCCTGTTAATGAGGTTCAGTTCATCAGTTTTATCGCTTGTTTATTCCTTGTTCTTTTTGCTTTGCTTAGCACTAGATTTTTGAAAACTTACTCTTTTTTTTTTTCTAGAGGGTTTTTAGTTTTGAGTTCCACATTTAAATCTGTGATACATTTCAAGATACTTTCTGTGTAAGACATGAGGCTTAGGTTGGGTTTATTGTTTTGGTCTATGTGTATTGAAAAGTTGGTCTCTCTCCAGTGAATTGCTTATGTGCCAGGTGAACGTATTTGTATGGTGCTTCTTCATTCTATCTAGTCCGTTTTTCTCTGTCCTTAGACCAATATCACCACCCAGGCTTGAGTACCTAACTATATTATCTTCAAGTCCAAGGGACTTTCTTCTTTTTCAAAATTTAAGTTTTGCCTTTTCTGGTTCTTTTGTCTTTCCATATAAATTTTAAAACAATCTTGTCCATATCTGCAAAAAAAAAAAATCTTCCTAGTATTTTGACAAAAATTGCACTAAGCTCAAATGTCAGTTCTGCAGAGAATAGACACCTGTATTGTGTTGAGTCCATGAATATAGGCTCTCTGTCCTTTGATTTCTTCCATAGTTTTCTTGTACATGTTTGCTTTTAGTTTTTAATTTTTTTTTCGGTTCTATGGATTGAATCCAGGGCACCATGAAAGCTAGACATCTACTGTGCTATACCTAGTCCCAATGTTTTTCTTTTTTTGTCAGTCATGAGGCTTGAACTCTGGGCCTGGGCGCTGTTCCTGTGCTC